GGGCGTTGTGTTTGCCTCCGGGATCGAGCGGCTGGAGCTTTATCTATGCTTGTTGCGAGAAAGGTACAGCCAATTCATAAGCCCGTTTCGCTAAGCTCAGGCGAGCTGGTGGTAGGGGTAAGCTAGAGAAAGACGCGTCCGGGGGTGGGCCGGATGTCGGAGGGGGCGTCAGGCGACGCGCCTAACCATTGGCTGCCAATGTACAACTCATTTCGGGGGGGGGGGGGGGGGCAAGGCCGACGGCGGCGGAGGCGGCGAGGCGGGAGGGCGGCGGGCGGCGAGGCGAAGCGGATGGCGGCGGCAGCGACGGCGAGACGGACGGCGGTAGCGGCGAGGGCGAGGCGGAGGGCGGTGGCGGTGACGGCGACGCGGACGGCGACGGCGGCGACGGGGATCCGGAGGGAGGCGGCGGCGATGGCAATGCGGAGGGAGCCGGTGGAGGGCGAGGTCGGCGGCGCGGCGGCGGCGGCAGCGGCGAGGCGGAAGGAGGCGGCGGCGGTGGCGGCAAGGCGGAGGGAGGCAAAGGAGACGGCGAGGCGGAGGGAGACGGCGGCGAGGGCGAGGTTGATGGCGGTGGCGGCGGCGGTGAGGTGGAGGTAGGGAGGCGTCGGCAACGGCGAGGCGGAGGGAGGCGCGAGGGCGACGCGGAGGGAGGCGACGGCAAGGTGGAGGTAGGCGAGAGCGAGGCCGACGGCGGCGGAGGCACGGCGAGGCGGGGGGCGGCGGCGGCAATGGCGAGACGGAGGGCGGCGGCGGCGAGAGTAATGCGGACGGCGGCTGACGGCGACGCGGACGGCGGCAGCAGCGACGGCACGGACGCGGAGGGAGGCGGCGGCGACGGCGAGGTCGACGGCGGCGGCGGCCGCGGCGGCGAGGAGGAGGGAGGCGGCTTCGAGGGCGAGGCGGAGGGGAGGCGGAGGCGAATGCGAGGTCGACCGCGGCGGCAGTGGCGGCGAGGCGGGCGGGAGGTGGCGGCGGGGGCGAGGCGGAGGGCGGCGGCAGCGGCGGCGAAGCGGAGGGCGGCAGTGGCGAGGGTGGCGGGCGGCGGCGTCGGCGTCGGCGAGTCAGAGGGCGGCGGCGGTGACGGCGGGCGGCGATGGCGAGTCGGAGGGCGGCGGTGGCAACGGCGAGGCGGAGGGCCACGGCGGCGAGGGCGAGGCGGAGGGAGGCGGCGGCGAGGGCGAGGCCGACAGGGGCGGCGGCGAGGCGAGACGGACGGCGGCAGCGGTGACGGCGAGGCCGACGGCGGCGGCGGCTGAGGGAAGCGGCGGCGAGGGCGAGGCGGAGGGAGGCGGAGGCGAGGGCGAGGCGGAGGGAGGCGGCGGCGAGGGCGAGGCCGACAGGGGCGGCGGCGAGGCGAGACGGACGGCGGCAGCGGTGACGGCGAGGCCGACGGCGGCGGCGGCTGAGGGAAGCGGCGGCGAGGGCGAGGCGGAGGGAGGCGGAGGCGAGGGCGAGGCGGAGGGAGGCGGAGGCGAGGGCGAGGCGGAGGGGGGCGGAGGCGAGGGCGAGGCGGAGGGAGGCGGCGGAGAGGGCGAGGCGGAGCCGCTCATGGCGGGGCGGCGGCGGCGGCGGGGCGGAGGGCGGCGGTGGTGGGGATGTTGACACGGAGCAGCGCCGTAAACTCGTCGTGACGTCACCTATTGAGCCACCTGACAGTTGCGAAGTCGTCTAAACCGTAGTTGCGTGCTCGTGGCGCTTGCCACGCGACCTAAAGACGGCGCTATTTGTCCTCCGACCATTGCCTAACGCCGGAGGAGTGGCAAGCGGTGAGGACGGGGCCGTGGCGCGGGAGGCGGATGTGCGAGGGGTGCCACAGACGCCTCAGCGGGCGCGCCCGGGCGCATCAAGACCGCCGCCGCGGGGCGCGCGGCGATGGGCGTGCTGGGCGCGCTGGGCGCGCTTCCGGCCGACGTGGACGTCTCCGTGGGGTCGGTGCTGCCGGAAGCAAAGCAACCCGTGTACGGCCGCACGCATAGTGGAGGGTTGTCGGCACCTGTCGGCGCCAGTCGCCCTTCCAGCGCAGTGAAGCCGCGCCGTGTGCTGCTGCCGAGCCGCCGCAAGTCGGCTTTTAGGCCGACTTGTGGCTGGCAGTGGAGCCCTGAGCATACTCGAGGACTGTGCCAGAGTTGAGGCAGTGCGGCGCGCATTGCTCAACACCTCGCGGGGCTCCGCCCTTCACCCCACTCAAGCTGGCGCCCCAGACCCCCTGCCTGGATCGGCCACCCTGGCCGTCACCATCATCCCCGTCAGCCCCACTAGGGGAGTCGCAACCCCGGGATCGTCACACGAATCGCGCACCCTCGTGGCGACGAGGGCCACGGCGAGGACGACGATGGCGAAGAAGGGCGGAGCCGCGGGAGCCATTAGCGCGAGGATCCCTCCCCCGGGTCCGGCGGCCACGCCGGGCGCGGGGCGACGAAGGCGGCTGCGGCGGGCGCACGCATCGCGGCCGCCGAAGTCAAAAGTCGGTGCCGAGCACAAAAAGCGCGAACACCGGACTTGACAGCCAAGACTGCATGCATGCGCCTCGCCCACGTCTTACCGACGTCGAGCGCCTGCCTCGCCGCACGTCATCCGACCATCGCCATGTCGCGCCACACGGCGGAGAGGGTGCCGCCGCAGCGCGCCCGCACAGCCTGACGGGCCGCCCGAAGGCCTGCGGCCACCCCGCCTGCGGAGCGCGTACGCCGCGCGCCGATTACAACATGGCTGCGCGGCACGTCGCGATTGGCACGCGGCTGCGATTCCGGGAACCTTCGTCGGGGGGGTTGCACAGCTCGACGAGCAGCCGCGCACGAGCCGGAGAGCCGCCACAATATGCTGCTGCTGACCTGCTTCGCCGTTCACCTCGAGCCGCGCCTCGCCACTCGTGCCCACGCAGCGCCGCTGTTCGACCCGCTCGGTCTGGAGCAGGTGCAGCCGACCGCGCAGGCTCACCACCAGCTGGTGCCTGCTGGCGGTGCCATGGTGGCGGCGCTGGCGGCGGCACGGCCAGAGGCCGCGCTCGCAAAGGGCGGCGAGTACGGCATCTTCGAGGGGCGCATCGTCTCGCTTGCCCACCCCGCCGTCATGGCGATGATGTACGCGGCGACCGCCTGGGCCGCGTTCACCGGTTACCAGTGGAGGCAGCTTCGTGAGATCGGCAACCAGATCACGGAGCTCAAGGACAGGAAGAAGAAGCATGAATCGCAGCTGAAGGTGCTGGCCGACGGAGAGGCCGAGGCCGCACCTCCCGCCCTCACTGCTGAGCTCGCCTCGCTGACGTCCCAAATCGACGAGCTCACCACGACCCGCAAGGAGCTGGCCTCGAGCGATCTCCGCGCCAAGCACTACCAGGTTGGCTCCGTGATCCTTGGGCTGGGCACCGCCTTTGCGATTGAGGGGCCCGTCAACACCTTTCTGCGCGCGCAAAAGCTCTTCCCAGGCGCGCTCCCTGCAGATGCGAGGCTCTGACCTCGTGTCTGCTAGCCCGTGCTCAAACCGCACCACGCGCACCCACCGCCTCACGAAGGCATAACGCTCTCTTCACGGCGCCGCCCCCTCGGCTTGCACCGCGCAGGCCCGCACCTCTACGCCGGCGCCGGTGTGGTTGTCTGCTGGGCGATGGCGGCGTCGCTCGTGCCGCTGATGTCCAAGGGCAAGGACGCGGCCCGCACGGCGCACATCGCCTTCAACGTGCTCGCGCTCGGCCTCTTCACGTGGCAGCTGCCCACCGGCTGGGACATCACTCTCAAGGTGATCAAGTTCACAAAGTTCCCGTAGAGGAGGCAGCAGGCAGGGAGAGCCGACCCTCGGCCCCTCGCCCACGACCCCTCTTAGCTGTGGCCACTTGCCCGCGCGCGCTCCTGCCACGCGTTGCGTTGGTGTGTCGACGCCCGGACGGCGGGCAGTCCGCACCCTCGCCTCGCAGCGCGCGTATTATGTTTTATGTGTCGCACACACGCAAGCGTCACCGAACCGCGAACGCAGCCGCGTGGACCGGGAGTCGGATCCTCTTGCGTCTTGCTCGCTCTCTTGGTGCTCGGATCCTCATGCATGTGTCATTGTCGATTGTCGTGGCTCGTCGTGTGTTGAGCACACTGCCCCCTGGGCATCGAGCTCTTTGGGCCATTACTTGTTTCCTCAGGGGGGGGGCCAACGGGACCGCGCACACGCAGTCGCAGAGACGAATCCCCAAAAAGGTCCCCAGCTCAACAGCGGGGACTCGAAGCGTGGACATGGACGATGGAGTGTACCCCGGGGCCCCCCCCCCCCCCCCCCCCCCAGCAGCAGAGCTCTGGCGCTGGGGGGGTCGGGACCCCCCCCAGCAGGAGCGCTCTGCCTGTGGGGGGTGCTGGCGCAGCTGTAAGTAGCAATGTAGCATGCGTTCCACTTCCAGTGGCGAGAATTTATGGTCGGCACCAAAATCAGTGGTCTCACCGGCGGGCCCTCCTACTGCCAGCCGGCCGGTGCGGGGCACGCCAGCCTCTCTTCTACGCCTCTCGTGCCTCGCGGCGCCTCTGCTTCAAGGTACAAGGAGGGAAGATACGGCGCTCGCAGCCCATCATACGCCATGGCACAGCGGAGAGCACAGCGGGCTGTACAAGTCCATTAGATAGCGCTCAATATCGTCGCATGCTCGTCGTTGGTGATATCCGCGCGAGGTCATGCGCCAAAGGCCAGCAATCACTCGGTGATGAGACTACTGATGAAGGCGCGACGCTCTGTCACCGAGTGTTGCTCGGCGCTGCGACACCTAATTAGAGTGGTAGTACAAAAGAGAAAGACCCACAAGTCTTTAGTAACACGCCAGCACTCGACACGACGAAGGTGCACGGTATTGGGCTCGAAGGCGCGGTGAACACAACCGCCTCGAGCGTACCACTCGTACCGCTCACACGAGCGGGGGGGGGGGGGGGGGCAAAAAAACGGGAGCTGGGTCCGGGGGCCCTCTGCTGCTGGGGGGGTCAAAACCCCCCCCCCCCCCCTAGAAGGAGGGGTGGGTTTTAAAGTGGGGGGGGGGGACCCAGCAAGGGGGGGCCCCTCATGGGAAATCTTCCCCCCCCCCCCTTGGGAACCGATTTTGGGGGGGGGGCCCCGCTTTTTAGGGGGAGAAGCCCCCCCCCCCCCGGGGCCAAATGTTTTTTTTTTTCGGGGAGGGATGGGGGAAATATGAGTAGGGGGCGGGCGCCAAATCTCTCCTGCCCCTTGAGGCCCCGGGGGGGGGTTTTTTAGAAGGGTTTAAGAAGGGTTTAGGAAGGGTTTAGGAAACCCCCCCCCTGAAAAGGTGGAAAAACGGTATACCCGGGTTTATATCAGGGCGGGGGGGCCCCCTTC